AGAGCGTGTTACACAGAATAATTCCGAAACTTCCGACAGTTAACATCTATAGCTAGCATACAAGGGATTTATAGAAATCGCAAGCTTGCTCAGTTTTGTTGTAACTACGCAGACCGATGCATCATGACCTCTGTTTTGGTAACAGTCTTTTTTGCTGTATAGAAGAGTTTTTACCTCATTTTCGCCGTTTGGTACTGTTGTCATGACGGCCTGGTTGAAAACGCTGCCCGAATTTCTTTGCCATAGTTGTTGTGATAATTGCCTGTTTTGCTTTATAGACTGCTTCATATAAGAAAAGGGTAAGGTTGTGAGTAATCCCGTCTGCTTCTTTAGACGCTTTGCGAGATTCTCAAAAGCCTATTTCGTCTTATAACAATTCAAAGTATCGGTATATCTTGAATAAGAACTCTAGTCACCATCGGCCGTTTAAAGTAGGGTATGATTGATAGTGAATTCTTAAACAATTAGATGAGAAGGCCTCGCAATACAATTGAAATTCACGTAGCTTTTATTCCCAAAAGATATATTATCATACAACGTTGACTGCAGTTTAGACCTCGCCTAGGCCTCATCAGCACCCTCAGAGGGAATCCAGCACAATTATTGCTTTTCTTCAAGATCTGATACTGTTAGTCGCATTTCAAATACAACTATCGTTGTCGTCAATAATGGCAGAAATTCACTTCTGCCATGTTACTAACTGACACATGCGGCAATGCAGTGTAGTGTTAACATGTAAAATTATACGATGCACTAGCTATGTTCGGTTCCCTTAGGAGGTCGTGATGAGAACTGTAGTCTAGTTTAGCCTGGGTGAGGAAATCCTTTGAAAATTTACTTGTATCTTAAGGCCCAATAATCTCATTGTGCGGAAATTCACTACCAAACCTTTATCATCTTAAGCGACCTGAGGTTACTAAGGCACTCACTCGTTTCTCAAAGCAGCAAGGATGAAGTGATTTAAATAGCACTCTTTCTTATGTTCCCCTATCTAGGCTGCGAATGGTTGTATTCTGTACATTTTCATGTCTTGGTTACCAGATAATCAGAAAAGTCTGGACTGCTACTCATATCTGTATCTGCCAGAGTTAAAATTGTAATTTTAATGTAGAGTTTCGAGAGTACCAGTAATTCAGTTATAAGAGATGTATTAGCCCTATTTCGTTTGAGGTGATAGAGAAATTGTAGTTTAATTTTCCCACAATTATATGAGTAGACCTGACGTCTCCATCGAATTTTATTTGGCCCTGCTTCGCAAAAGGTGCTCTTATACACGATTGACTTCAGTCTCGACCTCACCTAGGTCTTATCAACATCCCCAGCGGCAGTTGAATCAGGGCAATGAAGCGTTTAATCTCGACAGGTTAACCACTACACCACATTGTCACAAACGCCCTTGGGTCACAGGGCAGATTTGAATTTCAGGGAAGGCCAGTCATTTTACAATATAATATTCTTTTTTTTCGTATTAGAGTAGAGTTTCGAGACTACCAGTAAATCAGTAATATGAGATGCGAGGTCGAAACTGCAGTCCACCCTGGATGAGAGCAGCTTCTGAAAAAGCAAGGCTATGTGAAATTCAATGGAAACGTCAGCTCAACTCATATCATTGTGGGAAAATTCGACTACAGGTCCTTCATCACCTTACACGAAATGGGGTGAATACATCTCATAATATTCTGTTGGTGGGAGTGTCTATGAAGTAAAGTTTATTTGCTATTACGATCGACTAAATTACTTATTTTTGTTTTATAAGTAGAGTTTCGAGAATATCCGTACATCGGTTGTATAAGATGTATTCACCCTATTTCGTGGCGTAGTTATTAACGTGTCAAAATTACACACTGCTCTGTTATGGTTCGACTACTGCTGGGAGTTTTGATAAGACTTAGGTGAGGTCAAAACGAC